GCATAAATGTGCACAAAATCATCATACCCTTTTTTTTTAGCCCATTTGCACTGAGCTCCACGTATAATAAGAGTTTCGTCTTGTTCCTCAGAAAGCGCTGCAATGCCGTTACCAACAACACATTTTGAGTCATTTGGCTGTGCGAGCACAGAAAACAGAGAAAAAAAGAAGAGGGGAACAAAATGAAAAAGAAGGTTTATTTCCGTTGACGTGCCTTAATTTCAGCCAGTTGTGAATTCATTTTTGGCCCGAGTTGGTTTTGCTTTTGCTTTGAGGCCAAGCACTGTTGCCGGCTTGCTGGATGGGTTTTCGCGGCGCTATGATTGCGCCTACACAAGCAGCTTTGGGTGTGCTCTGAGCTTCGAGTGGATAGCTAGACTTGAGTTAGCAGCTGAATAGATGTGGCTTTGAAAGTATAGAGTTTATTTTTAACTTGAACATTAACATGTGGTTTAACATTTACAAGTGACTTGTAAGAAAATGAATTGATTGCAAAGAAGAGAGGCTTAGCATATTATTTATAAAATATTTTTGACTAAGCACTAAGAAAGGGTTAGCTAGACCAGAGCTAGCAGCTGGATAGTTTTAAGACAAATTTTTGGGGCTTTGAAAGTATAGAGTTTATTTTTAACATGAACATTAACATGTGGTTTAACATTTACAAGTGACTTGTAAGAAAATGAATTGATTGTAAAGAAAAGAGGGCTAACATATTCATAGAATAGTTTTGACTAAGCACTAAGAAAGGGTTAACTAGACTTGAGCTAGCAGCTGGATAGTTTCAAGACAAGTTTATTTTGGCTTTGCCAGCATAGAGTTAAGCTAACATGGAGTTTAACATTTACAAGGTAGTTGTACAAAAAATGAATTGATTGTAAGGAAAAGAGGCCTAACATATTTATAGAATAGTTTTGACTCAGCACTAAGAAAGGGTATTTAAACTTTTCTATTAATTAAATAGTATATATATACGCTTTTAATGTGTGGGAGACGCGACTGCTGAGAAGAATGTTAATGTGAAACTGGCTGCGGATTGTTGGCTTGTTGGCGTCTTTGGTGCGCAGCTCTTGCGTCTCTTGATGTTGGCTTGATTAGCGAGCGAGTGCTAAAAAAGCAGAACCTGAGATCGCAAACTGCTAAGGCTAACAAGTTGGCCTGCCAATGCCGTCTAGACGCCAGGCAAATGGATATGCGATTAGCACATGTCGGTCGCTCGCTGAGTCAGCAGCCAGGATCAAAGAAGGCCAAAGTATCAGGAGATCAGCTCCAGCTCAAGGGCGTGGTCGCCGCAAGTTTGGGCTCTTGATTTTGGCCTAGACCAAATCAAATTTCAGCTGCTGCTGTTGCTGTTGTTGTCAATGCATTTTATGCATAATTAGCAGCGACAGTGACGACCACATGAAGCTGACCAAAACACAAGCAGCAGCAGCGGCAGCAGAAGCCGCAGCAGCGACAACGACAGCGGAAATTAAACGCACTGAAACGTTTCGAACATTACATTTGGCCATTTGTTTCTGTGTTGTTGTTGTTGTTGCTGTTATTGCTGTTGTTGTTGTTGTGGCCAGTTGGCGTGACAAAAAGGGCGTTGCAGGCAGTGCAGCTGGCTTAGCTTGTTTCCCGTCAAAACTGGCTCTCATAACAAAGTTAAGGCAAAGTTTTCAAAGCAGCGGCAATTTTGGCTTTTTTTCTTAAACGTCTTTTGCTTTTTTCCGCTGACTTCAATTTGATCAAAAACGTATGCTAAATGCTTTCTTATTGTCCCAATGAGCCTTTGGCTCAACTGGCCTGCTTTATCTTACCTCATCTCACTCAAAACAAGGCTTAAAGTTTTATTGTAAAGCAATATAAAATATATATATAACAATATAATATATTTTACCAATGGCAGCTGGACAGCTTTTTAACCAAGTTCTTGTGGATTTGCTAACAGATTTTGGCTTAACATGAACATTGCCATGAACGTTAACATTTACAAGGCACATCAAATATAGAAAATATGTGTTTTTTACCCTATAAAATGTGTATTTCACATTTTTGTGTTAACATATTCATCATATAAATATTCATCAAAGTAAAAATAATAAATATGAATAAAAATATAAACAAATATTTATAAAAATATAAATAAATATTTATAAACATATAAATAAATTTTTTAAATATATAAACAAATATTTTAAATGAAATATAAATCAAACACAAAGCAGAAACTTTAGTAAATTCAACAAAAATATTGTAAAGAAAGTAAAATTATAATGAACATAGATTAAACAAAAAAAAAGGGCGCTGCATAGCTTTTTAATGCTGTTCAAATGTTTTGCTAGCTATAATTTAGCTACTTTTCTAGCTTTTTTTTCTGCTTGCTGCTTAAAAGCTGGCTGCACAGGCTGCAGGAGTTGGTCGCTGAGCTGCATTTCAAAATGCTTGAGGTGAGCGTCCGCTTTGCAGAGGATGTTGCTGCCTTTTAAACAACTACGCAGCAAAAGCAACACATTATTGTTGTTTGTTGTTGTTGTTGTTGTTTGTGATTTATTTTGACCACGTACATATGCAAAACGCATTCTAATGGAACAGCAGCAGCAGCAGCAGCAGCAGCAACAACAACAACAGCTCTGGCCATGTTTGGCCATTGCGCATTGTAATTTGTAGTTACGCTCTGATTTTTGAGTTTCATTTGTAGCTTCACCTGCTGCCGCGTATTGTGCTCATTGTTATTGTTATTGTTATTTTTATTATTATTATTATTGTTGATGTTGTTTGCACGCTTGCACGCTTGCCTGCTGCCCTGCGGCGCGTTGTAGAATAAAAAATAAGAGAGATGTTGCATTGTTTCGCTTTCGGTTTGTTGTCTGTTGTGGCATCTACAAAACGGAAATGCCGCTTTTGTTGAACGGAAATGCAAATGATATTGTAGACATTATTGCTGTTGGTTTTGTATTACCCAACTTGCAACAGGCAACAACGACAACTAGCCACAGCCTATCAATTACAAAGTGAACGCTCGCAAATGTATCTGCATCTAAAGTAGTTCAGAGAACCTTGCCAAAGTATCTTCCAAGTCAGAGACAAGCGTTGGCTGCAACAGTTCTCTCTGCACTTACCTACAGCAAACTGCATTTCATTAGGCCATAAAAGCCGTAGGCTGCCCTACGCCCTTGCAGCCAGGCAGACAGGCAACAGCAGGAGGCGTCTAGGAAGTACACAGATGCCCAAGCCCGATGTCGCCAGAGTTGCCGAGGCGTTCAGATCAAGCTGCAGAAAGTCAAGACGCCCACGTCTAGCTGGTCGTTGTTGCTGCTGCTGCTGGGCGTGGGCGTGGGCGTGGTGCCAGAGCTAGCTGAATATATAAAACATGCTGCTGCTATAAATATGTATATCTGTGACAAAACTAGAAATTTAAGCCAACTCGTCGGGCGTTTCCTATCACGAAAGTTATTCGTTTTGCCAGTAACAAATCATATTATGAAAACATTTAAACATGCCGCTGCCTATTATATATTATTACAAACTTTAGCTAAGTCATAGGGCATATGCATGACCGGATCCTGCTCGGATCCACAAAGTTCAAGTAAATTACGTACAATTCTGGGAGTCTCTATCTCTTTTGACTCGTGGAGCAGATTTGGATGGCAATCGATAGTCGGGATTCGTACGAGTTAAAGCAGGTTCATATATCACTTCGAAATCGGAAAGTAGCCATATATCTGACCCAAATCGAAAGTTATTGATCAAAAACCGATTCGTTTGAAAAGTTAACATTTTTTGATGATTTTTTGGAATATCTCGGTTAAATAATGTCCGATTTTGGAATTTTATACCATTTTGGACTCGTAGGGATCAGTACTATCGATTGCCATCAAAAAATTGAAAATCTAAATTTTGACCAAAACCGGCCAAATGGCACGTTTTTTCTCAAAATCGGCATCCGTACGAGTAGAAAGAGGTATGCTTTTCCGATATCGGACTTTATTTACCCGAGATATTTCAACTATGTATTTATTTAAGTTATTTAAATATCAAAGTCGCGTTTCCTAAGAGTAAAATCGTCTGAGCTACAGCGGATTTTGTAGATTTCATCAAAATCCGCCTCGCTTGCGTACGAAACAGAAGACGGTTCCTAGTTGACCCAATATCTATGGTAATATACCAAAGATATAGTCCTGGTGAACCTAAATCCCCAAAGCACTAAGCCTTGCAGAATGCGCAAGGATATGGTTCACAATATGTATGCCCTTTTTTCATGACCCTGGCCCATGACCTGATGCCCCTGAAAGTTCCCTTTTTTTCAGCTTTTTGAAGGACTTTTGTCCTTTTTATTGCATATTCCGAATTAGCAGGACGAGGACTTCCTTTTGGCCAAGGCACATCCCAAAAGTCCTTAAAACGGCCCAGTTAGGCGTAAAATAACGTTGCAATAAACAATTTCATTTGAAAATAACGTTCATTTTCGGCCGACGGTTGAGGGACTCATTTGAAATCAAATTCAAATTCAACGGCTAAATATGCCCCTTAAGGGTATGCAACGAAATTTTTCAGTCGCTGATTTTTATTTTGCGGTTACCTACTTGCTGATTCTGTTCGCCTGGTACTTCAGCTGGGATTTTTATGAAAACTGACCGTCGAACAGCGGCCACGCGGCGCCCCTTTCGGCTATGCTATACATTGTGTCGTGCACTGATTTTTATTTTGCGGCTACCTACTTGCTGATTCTGTTCGCCTGGTACTTCAGCTGGAATTTGTATGAAAACTGACCGGACCAAGAGCGGCCAGAGGGTGCCCCTTTCGGCTATGCTATACATTTTTTCGTGCGCTGATTTTTATTTTGCGGCTACCTACTTGCTGTTTCTGTTCGCCTGGTACTTCAGCTGGGATTTTTATGAAAAATATAGCCCCAGAGCCTGTCGCCAAAAATATTTATGGAAATAAAAACAAACGCTTTTTATTGGATTTGTTTTCTGTTGTTTATTTAAAATGCATATACAATATTTATCTTAAAACTCTTGCATAATATATATACACAATGTATTTTCTTAAACGTGGCTGACAAATTAAAATGCCTAGAACTAATACCTGAAATAAAACTGTGCACAATTGTCATCAGTTGCAATTGTGATTGCAAATTCATTGAATTTGGAATGTGTTTTCTTAAAACAAGGCTTAAGTAGTTCGGCTTGAAGAGATTTGAATCATTCTGCCTCTCTAAAACGAATTGGGACTCCGTATGGGCGATAAAGTACTCAGCTTGCAGGTGACATCCAAATTGGGCAGGTTCTGTGTGTTGCGGCAATAGCGACTCCAGCCCTTCCAATATTTGAAGCCATCGCGTTGCTGTATGGTCTTGGCGCAGGCAATATCATCCGAAATATCGTCATTGGAGAGATCTGAAAGGCATTTGAATATGAATTATACTGGAATATAATCAATAAAGTACTAAGTTCTCGAGCAGGTCAACAGCGAGCCTACCTTCACATTTCATGTTGCACAGTCCACCCCGGCGTCCCTCGGCGCAGTAGTCCCTGCTGTTGATTTGGAACAGTCCATAGTTCTTGCTATTGTTCTCTTTGCTCGTCACCTTGTTCGTATCCAAGGAGCTCTCATGCTCCACCAGGCAGATCCCTAAAGAATTGAGCGTTAGTACATTTTGTTTTTACGGTGCTTTTATAATACTCACAATTGGACATTAGCGTCTTCTGGAATCTGTAGGTCTCCACCAGCACACGCGTCAGCTCGCAGCGCATATACTTCTTGGACTCCACACCCTTTGCCCACATCATCAGGCAGAGGAGCAGCAGCAGTGGAGCCATAATCCGAACTTTTTGGGCTGTCGATTCACGCGACATTTCTGACAGCAATCGAATTGTGTTGACATTGGGTACATGAAAATAAATAAATGTTAGTGTGTGGGTTTGCGTGTATTTAAATGTAGATTATATTCATTAGTTCCAGGAATGGGCGCTTCGTTTCTACCCCGCTAAATGCGCCTAATTAAATATGGGCATTCATTGTGTCTACACACGAATAGGTCAAAGGTTCAAAAGGCTACGCTAAGTGCATCAATATACGGACGGGAGAAATTCAAGCTTGCATTTCTCGTGTATATTGTGTCTGATTTTTGGAAAGACATAACATTTCGGCTTCGTACGGATCTGAAGCATCGATTGGCATTCAAATCAAACATATCTCGAATCAAGTTATCATTCTGTTAAGCATTTTTCTAGACGTTCTTCTCTTTATCATAACATAAAAGGGCATTTAGAGTTCGTAGTGCCTGCAATTATTTGTTCTTCTATTGTCTTAGCTGCAAATATGTGTTAAATTTGATAATCCAGCGGAACGAGTGACTTCTTCAAGCTGCCCGGCAGCCATGGGATTTATGGTGTGCCATTTATTAGCACTTTGTAGCTTATTAATAATAATAATAATATTTTAAGTCATTGTTTGAAGCACAATATCTATTGATTTACCCAGCAAGTTACCGAAGAGCCGCGACTAGCTAAGCAACGCATCAACAAAAGAAAACCTGTCAGCACACGTCTATTTATTGAGAGAGAGAGCTGCTGCTGGCTACGGATAATCCAGCGAGGAGATAAGTTTTCTATGCAAAAGTCTTGTCATTGCGATTAAAACGAAATTTATATAGGCATACAATAAAGATGAGATAGCTAACAAAAGCAATAAAGTTTTCTAGATACATTTGCCTAAACGTTTCGCTGAATATGTCGCATAATTAAGTTGTTAATGATCTATAACTAATTTATTTATTTTATGGCACCGCCTTAAACTATTCCCAAGATTTAGCAAATCTATCTTTTCAATCTCAGAAAGGGGCGTACAAATATCGGAGATGAACAGCTCTTGGAATAAGGTATATAAACTTGTACTAAGACTTTGATGTTGTGGGAGTAAAAACCGGGCCTATTATGGGGAAACAACTCTCAATTTAAAAACTGAGCGGGGGTTCAAAGCTGCTGCCATATACTGCTTTATGATAATAGATATATATATATATCGAAACTCTTGGAATGAAATAGTTCAACCCATTTTAAGACTGTGTTACTGAGGGACTTTAAAGCGAATGGTTTATATTCTTTATCATAGCAAAACAAAACTAATCCTGGCTAAAAAGCTGCTGCTATATGATAATAGATATATATATTTTGGAACTCTTGGAATGAAATATATTTCAACCCATTTTAAGACCGTGATATTGGCGGACTACAACCCAAAAGGCTTAAATTCTTTATTCGAGCAAAACAATAAATAAAAAACTGATCGAGGCTTAACAGCTGCTGATATATAAATATATATACAATTATATATAGAGAGATGTATATAGAACTCTGGGAATATGGCACGACAAGCCGAATTAAAGCAAAACAACTGCCAAATACTTTGTATTCAATAAACGCATAAAAAAGTAACCTTTTTTTTTTTTGGTTTTTTTTGGCTAAAAAGCGCTTCTTGACTTAATTGCGAGGCAATTACAATGTTTACCTTTGTTAATTAACCGAACACTGTGGAGCAGACGCGACGCGGCAATAAAGAAAACTAGTTTCAACACGATTGCGACTGCGGATACGAAATTGCGGACTGCGATCGCGATCGCGACTGCGACTGCGACTGAGCAGCTGTATCTGTATCTTTTGTATTCGAGTTTGCGAGTGCTTTATAGTTGGCTGGCGCTTCGCATGTGCGGCGCTGCGGGCCCCCACACAGATACTAAACAAAAATATAACAAAAAATGCAAATAATTTCAAAAGTATTCTTGCCGAAACAAAAAACTCTCATTGAATGGAAACCTCGCGCTCGCAGTGCCGCCTATTTATGCGGCTGCTGCTGCTGCTCTTCGCTCTCCAAATGAATAAATACAAATACAAAAAATTAGTTACGCTCTCTGTCTCTGTACTCGCCCATACTAAATACTTATTATAATAATGTAGTTGCTGTTGTTGTGATTAAGTGATAAGCCGCGGCTTGTGCATAAGTCAGACTCTGCCCGAGTTAATTGAGTCTGTTGGGGAAAAGCACTTTATTTGGGCTGGGCAATTTATCGGAACACCTTTGATATTTGCTCACACTTATCAGCAGTTGCTCAAAACTTAATCAATTGATCAAATTTGGTTATCAGCGCGTTTCTCAATTTAAGCAAACTAAGCTGTCGGTGGGCAAGACTGCAAGATGCTCTGTATAATGTATAATGTCTCCCACAAACCCGTCGATCACAAGGACTAATAGAACGTATTTAATCGAAAACTTTTGCCCAATACCTCAAAATCGATAAATATCGATATTCAGCTTAAGTGTTTAGGTATAACTGAGACCAAGAGCTGGTCGCACAGCCTATTTGGAATGTGAGTTCTAGTTTAGTTTAATTTAAATTATACTTTGGTATTACCTAATCGGACTACTCCTAAAATAAGGGGTATATATTCTTACTTTTTGGTATGTAGACACAATTAAAATCTTTCTTAAAGTTCTAATAATTTCAACAAAAATTAAAATTATTTAAGAACTCATTTCAAACAAATTAAAGCAGATGGAGTTTACCAAATTCAACTAAAGCTATAACAAATATATAAATATGGCAAAATAGCCTACATCACATAGATGCGAGCGAATATACCCTATGCCTCTACCTTCAATTGAAAACAGGGCATAAAAGGCGGAATCGGTAGAAGAATGTTTAAACAACAAATTGAAAAGTTGCATTTTGTGTGTGTGTTTTTTTGTTTTGCGTCGCACTGATAAGGGGAATTCCTGGAAAAACGTAATCTCGAAGCAATATGAACCGAATATGTCGCATTATATAATTGAATGAACCAATGAATTGAGCGAAACTTAAACCTAACAGCTAGCATATATGTTTAGAACTAAAAAGCTGAATCTGAACTGCTCCTCCAAAGTGCCAGAGGCGTAGCTGGCGACCCAATCGAGGGGGTCTTAGCAGCGGGAGACATCGGGCAGCGTGCGGCCACGACATTTGCTCATCCAGCCGGGCCAGGCCTGGAAGCCGTGACGATTGAAGATCTGCATGGCACAGCGCGAATCATCGGAGATTTCATCGTTCAGGAACTCTGTCGAGGAATGCAGTCAGCCAAAATTATAGGCAAAATATATAAAGGGATTTACCTTCGCATTTGATGTTGCAGATGCCACCGCGACGGCCCTTGCGACACCAGTTCTTGCTGTTAATCTGTTGGAGTAATCAATGGGACTACACGCTGGCTAAATGACGGGGGGCCACCTACCTGAAAGAGTCCGTAGCTGACGCTCTGATTGGGCAGCTGCATGGACTTCGAAGTGCTGCGACCGCTCTCCGACTCGACCAGACAGACCCCTGCGGCAAAGGGATCGGGTTTTGATTGGGATTGGGCTGGGCTGGATGCCGACTGCATCTACTTACAATTGGACAGATAGCTGCGCGGAAAGTCGTGACGCAGCAGCTCCTTGGCCAGCTGGCAGCGTGTCAGCAGCTTGGACTGCGTCGCCGACAGCGACAGCAGCAGGATCAGGCTCAGGCTCAGGACAATGGCTTTCGATTTACTGCACCGCCGAGCCATTTGTTTAACTCTAGGATGGACTGACTGACCGACTGACTGACTGACTGACTGACCGACTGACTGGACTGACTGACTGACTGATTGATTGATCGTTTGGGTGCCTGGACCACTTTAATCGTAAAGCGCTTCCGCAGCAACTGCCAAACTACAACTAAACACGCGTAGCGCCCGAAATCGGACCTTTTAAAGCCTCGCACGCAATTTTCTTGCTAGACAATCGCTCGGATTGCCACAGACAAATTGACACACATACGACACACAACAATAACAAGATCAAACAGCTAGGCTTGCGCCTGGCGAAGATTGAATACCCTTTCGCAAATTCCTAAAGTGACAAATATCAAAAGGAATCTTTTTGGTAATGGACATGGCATTACGATTAGACGAATTTGTAGATAGATAGCATTTCGAAGTCGTGTCTCTCTGGGAACAACGAGACATGCTCGTATTAACGGACATGCTTTATAACTCACTCTTCGAACTGAAAAGGTGGAACACATCTCTTCGCAATTGACAGCGCTTAAATATCAGTATTATTATAGATCCTATACCTATATAATAGTTACAAGTTATTAATCTGACATTCTCTAAATAGATCAGGCTAAGACAAGGCTATATTCACACTCTAATGTGAGCTGCGAGCTCGAAACTTCGTGGTTCAATTGCCTATAGACTGGGTCCCATTTATCTACTCAAGTTTTCTCTGCTAAATATAATTATAAATTAAGCTACTATTAAATTAGTACTGAGTGCTTTCAGCTGGCACTATGCTACATGCAAGCACTAGTCTAGGATTCGAACCGGCGACCTCTCTTTATCGTCTTGACTTAAGAACTAGCTCACCAATAATTATTTTTATTACAAATATACATATTTCATGAGTAAATCATCATACTACATGCAAGCACCAGCCTAGGATTTGAACCAGCGACCTCTTTATTTTCGTTGCCTAATCCACTGGCTTACCAACTGTTTTTTTTTATTACGAAAAGACATATTTTATGACAAAATCATAGTACGACATTAAAACACTACGATAAGATTCGAACCAGCGACCTCTCTCTTCTTTTTTGTTTAAGGATCTAGCTTCCCTTTTGTTGTTCTTATTACTGACGAAATTTAATGAGTAAATCAACATACTACAATCAAGACCTAGCCTAGAATTCGAACCAGCGACCTCTCTTTTTCTTTTATCTAAATAACTAGCCCATTAATTGTTGTTTTAATTACAAATAGACATATTTTATGATTAAATCATCATACTAAATGCAATCAATTGCCTCGGATTCGAACCAGCGACCTCTATTTTTCTTTTGTCCTACCCAATTGTTGTTTTACTGTTACTGATGGACGTATTTGATGACAAAATCAACATACTCTTCACTAGTTTAGCATCAGAACACGTTCAATTAGCATGCGGGGGCAACGTCATCAGCAACAACAACAGCAACAACAAGAAGAACAATAACAACTGCAACAACAATGTCACATGAACAGTTATTGCGTTGCTTTCGCTTTCGAGCTGTGGAAAGAGATGGCGTGAAAATTGGGAAATGTGTGTGTCGGCCTATTTGTCTATTTATGCGAGCGTTACAAAAGTATCTCTCAGACAATAAATCGCACGCCTTTGATTGCGTTAAGCGCTAAATTGGCAAATTGTCTTGCACAGATGCATATCTTGGAATGTATCTCGCCCTGTATCTGTATCTGTATCTGTAGCTCAGCCTGCAGCTGTATCTGCGCTGCTTGACCTAAAAAAGAAAAACGCACAATTCTTCCACTTATGTGCGCTATGCAAATGCAATTTCACAAATACATTTATACACTGAGCTCTTTATTTTTGTCAACAAAAACAAATAAAATTGAAAAAAGTTTCCATGAGCTAACGAAAACTTTTCCATTTCAGCTGCCTGCTGCTGGCTCTTTCGCTGGTCGCAGCCAATCAGCTGAAGGATCTGCTGGAGGATGCCACCACCCCCGCCAGCAACACCACCCCCGCCAGCAGCACCACCCCCACCAGCAGCACCACAGTCAGCGCCTATGTCATATCGGCTGCAGCTGTGTCCGCCTACAATGCGGCCACGCCCAAGTCCAAGTCGAAAATGGCAACGGGCAAATACTTTAACAAGAGCTCGCCCAAAAAGCGCAAGGCCGAGGAGGTCTCCTCGCTGCCGCTGCCCGTGGACACTGATGGTCTGCTCGAGTGGAAGTGCCCCAATATTTCGGGGACACGCAACGCCGAGCTCGAGTGCGGCTGCGATCTGCCCCACACGCTGCGCTGCAACATCGATCTGCATGGACTTTTGGTGAGTAGACCGAGACAGAGATCATTGAGAGCTCAGAGAGTACAGGAGTCATTTCAGAATTGGGTGGAAAAGGGGGAATCAGGACTGGTTTCTCAAGATCAGAGATCATCCAGAGGGGTTTCTATTTAGTAGACCTAACCCAGGGCAGCTTTGTTTGGAATAAAGATCTTCCAGAGCTCAGAGATTCCACGAGACATTTGTAAACTGATTGGAAAAGGGGTCAATAGACCTAATCCCGGACAGGTTCGCTTAGATTGAAGATCATCCACAGCTCAGAGAGTGGTTTGGACATTTCTAAATTGGGTTTCAGATTAAAAATCCTCAACAACACGAAAATTAGTCGAGACCTTTTTGAATTGGGTGAAAAAGGGGGTTAAACGACCTAACCCAAGGAAGATTTGTTTAAAATAAAGATCATCGAGAACTCAGAGACTACACGAGACCTTTTTGAATTGGGTGGAAAAGGGGGCAATAGTCACAACCCAGATCTGGTTTCTTTAGATCAGAGATCATTCAGAACTCAGAGATTACATGAGACATTTTTCAGTTGGGTGGGGTGGAAAAAGGGTTTCTGGTTAGTCGACCTAACCCAGGTAAGGTTTGTTTGGAATAAAGATCATCCAGAGCTCAGAGATGACCCAAGACCTTTTGAATTGGGAGGAAAGGCTTTCTAGTAAGTACCCAGGGCAGGTTTGCTTAAAATACAGATCTTCCAGAGCTTAAAGATTACCCGAGACCTTTGTGGATGGGGTGAGAAATGGTTATGTGCACAGACAACCTGATTTCATTAGTAGCTCTCACGTCTTCAATGTCAGTCCGTGGAGTTAGTTGAATAGGCGATAGGCAGACTAAACGGAGAGGTTAAAAGAAGCATTTTCTGGGTTTGGGGCTAATCCTTCTCAAAAGAACAGAAGAGTTTCAAGGAATAATGCTTCCCTCTCCGCCTAAGCCACATTCTCTAATGCGTCGCCTTTAGGTCTCACCTAGTTTTTAGCCCAACATTTACGTATTTTCATAGTTAAAGTCTTAACAGACCTTAGTCTAGAGCGAAGATTTTTCTTCCGAGAGAAGCGATATGTTGGATTTTCAAGTAAGATTAAGGTCTCCCATCGGTTATCAGTTAAATAATTGAGTTCTTTTCGACATTCCTTTACGCACAGATACTGGCGGACAGGCTGCGTAGTTCGCCGTATTCCATCTCGTTGCTGGACTGCTCGCTGCGCAACGTGACCTTCCTGAGCGACGCCAAGATCTTCGATGGCATCTCGCTGCACGGCCTGGTCATCTCATCCGGCGAGATCAAGCGTGTGCACAAGTCCGCGTTTCTGGGCATCAAGGGACCGCTGCAGGCCTTGGGTCTGCCCGGCAACGCGCTGCTGAGCGTGCCCTGGAATGCGCTGTCCACGCTGAGCACGCTGGAGCGCTTGGATTTGGCGAACAACAAGATCAAGGCGCTGGGCACGGCCGATTTTGTGGGCCTGGGCAATCTGGTGTATCTGGAGCTGAGCAGCAATCAGATCTCGAGCATATCGCAGCGCACCTTCAGCAGCCTGCGCAAGCTGGAGGTGCTCAAGCTGGGCGGCAATCGGCTGGGCGACTATGCGCAGAGCCTCAAGGCGCTCGGCCAGTTGAGCCTGAGCCTGCGGCAGCTGGATCTGACGGCCAACAATCTGAATGGTCCGCTCAGCGAACAGACGTTGCCGGGCCTGCGCAATCTCGAGAATCTGAATCTCAATCGCAACATGATCAAGAGCATCCAGAACAAGGCGCTGGCGAACTTTTCGCGCCTGGTCAGCCTCTCGCTGCGCCACAATCAGATCGATGTGCTGCAGGATCACGCCTTCTATGGTCTGGGCGCGCTCGACAGCCTGGATCTGAGCTACAATGGCATTGTGGCCATCTCTAGCGCTTCGCTGCAGCATCTCACGCGGCTCACGATGCTCGATCTGACACACAACTTTCTGCGCGCACTCACCTCGGATCTGATTGCGCCGCTGCCGTCGCTCCGGGAGCTGCGGCTGGCCGGCAATGACATCTCGATTGTGGCGCGGAATGCCATGGATCGGGCACAGGAGCTGCAGAGCCTGCAGATGCAGGACAATCCGCTGTCCTGCGACTGCAGCATACGTCCCTTCGCCGAATGGCTGCAGGTCTCCAAGCTGTCGTCCAGCTTGAGCGCGTCTTGCGTGACGCCGCCGCGTCTGGAAGGCGCCCCGCTGCTGCAGGTGCCCGTCGAGACGCTCACCTGCGACATGGACAATGTGGAGAAGGACAATGCGAATATAATGGAGCATCTGGAAACGCTGGCCAAGCCCAATCAGACCTCAGCCCACGTCAAGGACTTGTCGGAGGAGGTATGTACACCCAGTAACTCTCTCGAATGGAGATTTAAAGTTAATTCATTTTTTCGCACCATAGATTATTCTGCATGAGCTGCACTACTCGGCGGATTATGGCCTTATATTGACCTGGCTGCTGAATCTCAGCAAGAAGGATTACATGTGCGATGCCATATTCGTGTACAAGGAGGAGAACATCAATGAAATACTCATAGACAATTCACCCGTAAGTAAATGAAACTCGAACAATTATTCCTGACGAGCGAATGAAGACTTGAATTATTGCGGCTCGAGCTGTTCGAGTTGAAAACAAACAATTGAGTCTGTCGACTCGAACAAATATGCTTGAGCAAAACGAGCTCGCTTCGAACATGTTGCTACAACAAGCTGTTCGAACTTCGTTTGTATAAATCGTTCAAACGATGCTCAAAACTTCGAGTCTGTCGTTCAAATCGATTGATGCAAATGAATTAACCGATGCAGGGCTCTAATACGAACTTTGATCTAATCGAAAATCTATTCTCTCTATCCGTAGATCCACTGTGAGAGCAAGGTCGTCAACGGTCAGAACACAGTGAGCGTCATAGTGCCCGATAGCTCATCCCTGGACATAGGCGAAAGGTTTGTGGGATACTTTAGAAAAATACTCCCAAAACGTTTAATTATATTACTGTCCTCTGCAGCTACCGCTTCTGCCTGGTCATGGTGCAGGAGCAGAATCCGAAGGCAGATCTAAATATTGGCTGCTCGAACATAACCCAGCTGCAGCTGAGCAGTCCCGGCGCATTGCCCGTGCTGCGCCAGTATCAGCGTCGTCCGTACTACACGCCGCATGAGCTCGAGTCGGAGCATTTGGCGCCTGGCGAGGATTATCCGCTGAATAAGCGGCAATTCAACAGCATTGCGGGCAGCCAACAGCAAATGCATCCGCAGCCGCCTTCTGCGCCGCCGTCACCAACGCTGCTGCACAGCTACAATGTCATCGATTCGCTGAACAAGAGTTTTCTGCCTGGCCTGGGTCTGGGCATTCTGGTCACCTCGGTGGTCGTCTTGATTTGGGGCGCCACGCGCATACGCCAGGGCGTGGCCGTCAGCGCCGGCGCAAACGATGTCAGTCTCAGCAGCAACAGCAACAGCATGCAGCACCACAACAACAACAACAATAATAACAGCAGCAGACCGAGCACGCCCACAGCAACCACCTGCTATGCCGCCTCGGATCATATAGCACGAATGGCGGATGCCGAGAACGGGACGCGTTACCTCAAGCTGCAGGCAACGACGAGCCTGTAAAAGGCGACCCCCTCGCTCAGCCAATCAACCAATCGCTGGAAACTTGTGATAGTACAAGCACTTGTACCCGATATATCTTAGGACACATATAGAGTAGAGTAGAAGGACGAGCCGTTGTTAGGGCTCCTGCACTAATCCAAATACTTGGCCTAACACTAACCAAATTGTGCCATAAACTAACCCACACACAATCAAGTCTCTCCTCTATTTCCCTCTCTATACTATAAAATCTACTTAATTTGTTGCCCTTGCAGATAGGTTTTATATTCTCGATCTGGAATAAAATGCCTGCAAGGGTATTTAGACTTCGGCACTTCGAAGCGAACTATTCTCGCATCGTAACAAGTTTGTTAGAAGTAGCATTAATTATTTACGTTGTCGCCTCTGTCCCTAATGTTAGCCTTTTAGCCCTAAGAAATTGTAAGTCATGACCCTAGGCATAAGGCTTTAATAATTTATTAACCACATACCAAGCACACACAAAACAAATTGTAAGTAAGCAACAGGATAAATAAATGTTGAAAGTACTATAATATTCATAATAAACACACACACAATGCAGTCCATACAAATTGTATATTTAAATGCTTTTGTGGGCGGAGTTCGACAGCGGTGCATAAAACAAAAAAAATCGAAACCTTTATAAGGTCAGGCCATTTGGTATTGTACTATTTTTGTACATAATGTTAAGTGGGATATTAACATGCATATGACGTCACTGCACGCCCAGCTTTCAGCTGAATTAGACAATTGGACATGCAATGAGCTCATAGCTGGAGGAGCTCCCAAAGGATTTGAGGACACGCCAGCAAAATTAGCGTAAGAAACTAAACATGATAATCGGGATTTAAGGAGGAGCGTTTCGGTCTAGTTCGCACTGTTTATTAGCTGTCGCTCACCAAGAAATCAAAGTTGGCTCAGCGCTGCTCAAACATTGTTATACCCTGTACTCGTTGAAGGTGGCCAAGCATGGGGTATATTGCATGGGTTGCTATGTCTTACTCTATGATATCAGAGACTACTAATTGGAAATATCTGCCTTACTCAGATCAAGTTTATTTCAAATTATAGATCAAATTACCCCAACAAATGTCGATTAACAAATCCGATTACTAAAGCTTAGCTCAGAGAATAGCAAAGTTATAGACATAATCGGCATGCCGATTCTCTCGACAAACTCTTTAAAATATTGAGATTTAAATGAATTTATAGTTGTATGGAATGTCATATGACATCGCCGAAACACAAAAGATTTATAACGCGAAAGAAGGGCTTTCTTCGGCATACCGAAGTTTTAATACCCTTGCAGATCGAACTTTTTCAAAATGTTCATAAGCACAGGGAAAATAGTTAATGCCAGGTATGGTTATGATATCTTGAATAACAAAAAAGTTTTTCATACAAGAACCTCATTTTCGACCGATCGTTCCTATGGCAGCTATATGATATAGTAGTCCGGTGTATATAAGATTTTGTATAAATGTAGAGAGCATGGTAAAACTTTTAAATGCCGAGTTTGGTCAAGACATCTTGAAAAAAAAAAAGTTTTCCATAGAACAACTTAATTATCGATCGTTCCTATGGCAGCTATATGATAAAGTTGTCCGATGTCGATAGGATTTTGCATATATATGAGGAGCATAGTAAAACAAATAAATGTCAAGTTTGGTCAAGATATCTTGATAAACAAAAAAGTTTTTCATACAAGAACCTACTTTTCGACCGATTGTTCCAATGGCAGCTATATGATATAGTGGTCCGATCCAGCCGGCTTCGACATATGTACTGCGAGCAACAGAAAGGGGGACGATAGCTTCTAAACTGAAAGACTAGTTCGCATAGAAACAGACAGACAGACGGACATGGCTATATCGACTCGACTGTTGATACTGATCATAAATATATATACTTTATGGGGTCGGAGAAGTCTCCTTCTAATTATAATACCCTCTGCAATATATATATAATACCCTATGTATAAAAATGCATTTTTGATTATTTGGGACTGAGGGAACAACTCACAGCTGCTTACAGGGTATGCACTAGTCGGTCAGTCGCAACATAATCAGGCTTACCTTCTTGTTTTTGCTGCAGTCTATTTGTGTTGTGGTCATCGCTGATATGGCGACGCGCTGGCCCTCATTTGCCTAACGGCCAAGCGTCCTCGCGCTGGTTGCGCGCGCTGTCAGTTTGGCGACAACAATGAGCACGGCCAGAACGACGACCACGACAACCACGCTGCTGACCACGGGCAGGACGACACGCTAGCTTTTATCGATTTTCAGAGGACACACTCATTGGAGTGCCTTGTGCGTGTTTGCAAATCAAAAATTGGCAGACACACGCACAGTCGGAAGGAAGTTGGGTCCGGTGGCGCATTGATTCGCAGCTGGGAGAGCTGGGCGTCTGCGCCTCCTGCGCGGCCCCTTAAGACGGCCTACACATGAGCATGCTGGGCTTTGTCTACTTGGTGCTCATACTGGGCTGGATATTGATCGTGTTGTTTCTCAAGTGCAAAAAGTCGCTGTCGGCGCCATTTCGCTTTGGCGAGAACTACACGGATGCCATCGCGGAGACGAACGTCGAGCGTCGTCCCTCGGTGCATGTGATCCAGCTGCAGAGCGAGGATATCGAACAGGAGGATCACTATATGAACAATTTTCATAGGCAGTCGGACAATTTGCAGCGCTACTCGCATCGATCTACGCTCGAGGAGCGCGCCATTGAGCGCACATATCCGACAGATGCGGTCATTAATCCCGCCTACCTGCACGACGAGGATTATGTGATTAATGGTATGTGAATGAGTTCTAATTAAATGTAATTAAATATCAATTTACCTATTGCAGCGCCGCCGCCATCCTATGAGGAGGTAATGCGACAGCCGCAGGTCTATCCGCAGGTGCGCCACAATAATCATAAGATTAGCGATCTAAGCATTTGAGCTTGAGCTAAAGCTAGGCTACTTAAGATATCTCTGTACATATGTAGTTTTGTCAACTGTGATTTTTCTGATTTAAATATATATATATATATATATATAAATTCAGTTACTACAAATTACATATTAATGCGTATTTCGTATATTTATTTGTTGAGGGGCCATAGCAACAAAATCAATTCAATTGATTCTACAATTGTCGCCATCGCATTAGCAATAACATTAATTATACACATATAGAAAATGTACAAAATGATTTTACATATGATTACAAACAAACAATCAGTCAAAGTGTGTGTGTGTGTGTGTATGTGTGTGTTAAGTTGTAAATAAATAATAAGATGAAAGTGTGTCGTACAAAATAAACCGAGGGAAAACATAAAAACAAACTAAACTAAATAAGCATAAACATATACATATACATGTATGTATACATGTGTGGTTGTGTGTGTAAGTGTGTGTGTGTTAAAATACATATATATAGATATAGATATTGTTGGCATTTGGCTAAATTAAGTCACTAAATTCGATACACATTTACATAATATGCATAAAGAATTGTGTCTTGGCTCAAAATATACACAGAGTTCTAATGACTTGAGTTGAGTTTCTGTTTCTGTTTTTGTTTTTGGCCCAATTCCTTTTTGTTGGCCCGCTTCTGTTTCTGTTTTGGCTATATGTGTTTTGCGTTTCTTATGCGAGCACCTTGTGCACGCTGTGCATTTGTATGAACGCCTCCAGCTGGGTGGGTATCAGGCCTCTAAAGTTCAGCCTGTTGGTGGCGATGGAGCGTGCCGCCAGGCACTTGAGGCTCGTGTGCGCATTCTGATGTCCATGCAGCAGATTGGCCAAGTTAGCTGCAACAAAACACAAGCACCTATTATTGTATATACTATATAAAAATATTTTATTAAATGAGAGTGTACCCTGCTTGCAGGCCGCAGCTGCCGTTTGACCCGCCGCATTCACTGCGTCCAAGTGCGCGCCCGCCTCCACAAATAGCTGCAAAATGCGCGCCATTTCGCCTTGGCGATCCTGTGAGTTGTTTATCTTGGTCACCAGTATGTGAAGTGGCGTGTTCCTTGCGGCATCCACGGCCACAACCGAGGCGCCACAGTGCACCAAGACCAGGGCGGTTGCATAGCAGGGAAATCTAACGAAATATAAAAACCAGATTTAGACATGATCTCAATGCTATCCAAAACTTGTACCCACTTGCACATTTCGTTGGTATAGAACTCATCGACGGGCGTGACACCGTTCACGGCGAGATGCAGCAGCGTTTGGCCATCCTGGTGGCGCGTATCGTGCTGTATGAATTTGCGCACGACTAGAAATAGCTGCTGTATATGCTGCTCATTGATGTCCTGATCCTTCTTGCGGCGGGCCAGCTGTGTGACTATTTTAATTAAATACAACGCTGTGATGCAATTCTGATTGTTCTGATCCTGCAGCAGACTGACGCACGTGTTGGGCTTATCATTCCGCATTTTAAGCTTGTTGTTCTCAATCTCCTGCTGGCACTTGGTCAGCACGGGCAGGACATTGTCCAATGTCAGGCGATGATTCTCGACACGCAGTATTTGCGCAAAGAGCTGCGCAAAACGCAGCAAATCACGATCCACGCTAACCTGCAAAGGGATTCAATTGATTTAGACTTGGAGTTATTCAAAAGGACACGGCTCTAGCCTCTAGGTCTACTCACATTGTTGCGCATACGCAGATCGATGGCATAGTTCCACAGCACCTGGCACTGCTCGAAGCGGCCCTGATCGGCCATTACGGCGCCGCGATAGACAATGGCTTGAGGCAGCTCGGGATTGTTTTTGCCCAAGATGCGCTCGCGTATGGCCAGCGATTCCATGTGTATGGAGTGATGATTCAGCTTGATGGCATTCAGTTCGGGCAGATTTTCAGTCTCGAACCAGCTGTCGTAGGCGGGCACCGGCTGTTGCACCTTCTTGCGGACCACATGCCGCGGATCGCTGTAGCGCAGCTGCATGGCGCGCATCAGGTAGCTGTAGGCGCGATTCACATCGTATTTGGTCTTGTCGTTGGCATACGTGGCGCCCAGCAGCTCCAGCGCTTCGATTTGCTCCTCCTTGCTCATCAGATCCGGACGCTGAATGAAAGCCTCGACGACATCCTCGTGCAGCCGTTCGGCTGCCTGCAGCGCTGGCGTAATGCCCGCCTCGTTCTTTTGCAGTGTTGCGCCATGATCGAGCAGCGCTACGACCACATCCAGATGACCGCTCTCCGCGGCATAGTGCAGCGCCGTTGCTCCGCACAGAGCCTGATCGTTTGGCCGGGAGCCGTTCTGCAGCAGCGTATTCACGACCAGATGATGTCCCTTGTAGGCGGCAATCATGAGCGTGTTGTTGTTAAACAAATTGGTCGCATTCACATCCGCGCCATGCTCAAGCAGAAACTCCACAATGTCCAGACGGCCTGCAAGAGCGGTAGATATTACAAATGGATGCACATTTCCGCTGGCAACAGACACTTACCCTCATAGCAGGCGGCGCGCAGCGGCGACGACTGCGCCTTGGTATTGTGATTAATGGAGGCGCCTGCCTGCACCAGCATCTTGACGATCTGCAGATGACCCATGCCCGCGGCCACCCACAGAGCTGTTGCTCCATATACCACCAATCCGTCAAATATGACATTGCACTCCCGCTCCAAGTCCACGTCGTAGTGCGAGAGCAGCGTCTTCACGAACGTCACGTTGCCCGACATGGCGGCCATGGTGAGAGGCGTCAGCGATTGGCCATCGGGCTGATCAAAGTTCTGCGGAGAGTATAATATAGTGTATAAATGAATGAGAGAAGCTTTTTAAAGGCATGTACAGTGGTCGCTCGAGAAATAGGAAATATGGTAGAAATGTGCCAGACTTGAGTCTAGCTATATAAGAGCTCGGGCTGGAGTGGATCTGGTTCGGAATATAGACAACGAACTGATTCTCGACTGATGCTGCAGGGCATCTGCTAGTTGGGCACTCCCGGACTAGATTACTCTTTCTAGTTGTTAAATTGGTTGCTCGCCAATTCGTTATGTCTCGTATTCTAAGCTTCACTGCCTTGTTTGTCCGCACCAATTGTCCACCATAGTCTTAGTTCACTGTACATGTATGCTTTGCTTCGTTTTATGATGAGATGCGTGCGCATCTTTTTCACAATTTCACAGTCAAGGCTGAACGTACGAAAATAGTGCGTTTCTGTCGCTAAATCGCTGAGGAAAACGTGCAAAGAAAATTGTCAGACGAGGTGCAACGAGAGTTTTCCTTTGTTTTTCTGCATCTGACTTTTTGGCACGGCAAATGTAAATATTACAAAAACGCGCTCGCTCTTTGTCTTGGACATGTGTATATATGTATGCACCTGGCTGCCATATGGATGCATAGACAAGATCCAGGCATCGCATGACCAACATTTTTCAGGGCCTGACGACCTGACATAAGAAGCGAGGCGGCAATTGCGTTTTGGCTTTGCAGCTTTGGTCTTTCGTTGGCTGCTCTACGAAAATAGCAACTGGGTCAAGAAACTGCACGCCGGACCATTGTCGAGACTCACCGCCGGGTAGGTTATATAGCTGGTCAGCGGCAATTGGTCGCCAGCGCCGCGCCAGAAGCTCGCTCCCGGCCAAGCGGACTCGTACCAGCGCTTGCGTGTGCTATGCCAAAAGTTGAGAGTTAGTTGAAGAGTTTTAGTTAATCCTGCGACAGACTTGTTAATTTACCGATATAACTCCGCGTGCATAGCTTGCGTTTTTTTGTTGGTTTTCAACTGTGGAGCTGTGGCTTAAGGACGCAGCTGCTGGCTCTGCTCCTGACGGCAGTCACGATAAAATTCGATAAAACTTCGTGACGCCGACGGACGAACAGAATTCCTGCGCCCAACCCCATGCTTGCATATCTTCTGGGGGTTGTTCACCAAAAAGGACACACACACTCGCCAGAGGGTAGAACGTGCGTCGGCGCAGAGCAAACCACAGCACAGCTGATGCACGGTGAGAGCGCACAAAGAAGGGGAGGGAGAGAGAGAGAGCGAGAGGGAACAGCTTTCTCTCTTTTAGAGTATGTCGGTTTGTTTACAGTTCTCGCCAGCAGCTGTTTGCCCGCATTCCATTGAAAACTTCGAAATTCCATTTAAACTCAAGTTGGAGTCAGTTAGAGAGACTCCGAAGTACGTGAGAGTTATTAAATTCCAGCGGGCATTATAATAAAGACATCTTCGATTTCATAAAAGAGAATTTTTACGCCAACGCACTTCCATATAATATACGAGCAATTCGAAGTTGTGAGAGACTAATCTAGAGAGGAGGATGCATCTGGGCCAGGAGCCAGTCTCCCCCAGCTCAGATCAGTACTTCTTTAGCAGCAGTAGGGCTCACCTTCATAAGGGAGGTCGAGCAGGGGGGGGGGGGGGGGAAGGTACAAGAGACCGTCTTCCCCTTGTTTACATATTTATATAAAAGATCTATCCTTCAGAGTATTTAATTTTCGTTTGTCCAAAGCTAACCAGTTTTTTCCTGGTTTCCGTAGTACGCCACGCTTTTGAAGGCTTTTCATAAACGGGCAGATGATTAAACAACGCACATTTCAGGAACTGGCACTGGGCCAAGTTCGTGTCGGCCAGATCCAGAATGAGAACGCGCACGAGCACGAGCAGCTAGCCACATATGAATAATTAGTTAAAGATGGTGCCGAGTGAGTCCACAATCTCTAATAGAAGATGACAAGGCACTTATATGCATGTGTATGTGTGTGTACATGCATATATAGTTCATATGCGTATCAAAATTTGTGAACATTAATTGCAAATTTGACAATTACTGCGCTGCAAGCAATCGAATTATAAACACTCACTAAATATGTACACATTGGCTATATTTTAATGGGCCTCAAATAGAGAAGAGCGAGAGAGAAGTAGATGGGCAAGGGGGAGGGGGTGTTGCTCTCTTTGGTTCGCCCAGATGTGGCGATAAACAAAGAAAGCGCCCAAAAGAACGGGCCAGAGATCGCCGAGCAGACGCAGCAACAAATACGTTTGTACATATAAAAAT